TTATCCTGAGTGCGTGGAAATTATCCCCACTACTGTCTCATCACGTCCACACTGTCTGCACCATCGGACCTCCCTGCCCATGAGTCGCTGAGGCTTCTCCCTAACGATACCACCAGGTCCTTGGTGCTAAAAGTGTGCTTTAGGTTTAGTATATTACCTTGGACAAAGCAGTTCCTCAGCAAATAGTTATTGTTTACTCTGCATTCCAACACATAGACTTTGTTTGGTAATTTTGAATTGCTACAAGGTCAGAACCCTGCTCAGATGTCATAATATTAAGAAGAAAGTCAAGCACTTGATATGCATGGTCTTGTTCTCTTGTGAGATTGCTATTGTTTCTTTCCACATTGCATCAGGGCTAGGCTACTGCTCCCCAAACCCTGTACTCTTAACCACTGGGCTGCAACCCCTCGGCCATCTACTCATTGAAAAATGAGACCTATTTTGACCCCACCATTACAGAAGTAATCATGTTATAAGAAAAACCTACATAGTGCAGTAAAAACAAAAACAGAATAAGGATGTACTAAGAATCGCCTCTTCTTTAATATTGAATTATGAATTTACTTCATGGAAATTTTTAAAGTTATTTATGTGCTCAAAATAATCAGCAACAGGGCAGGGCAAGTCCTAACGTTTCTGGAAGGCAGGATCTGGCTGATGCCAGGAGCTGCGTGCTCCCACTGTAGAGAGAGAAAAAGCCCTTCTCTAGGATGGACAACAGGCCAGACCATAAGAAAAGCAACCAGCCAAGCAAAACCAGCAGGGAGAGGATTATCATTCAACAGGAGCCACGCTACTGCCAGATCTGAGGCGTGTTCCAGTTTCTAGAAATCTAGGAGACTTACTGACTCTTCCTCCTCATGTTTGTAGCTCTTCATCACTGTAACTAGGGCCAGTTGGCTCCTCCCCTTTGATGCCCATGTCCCTTCAACTTGTGAAGTATTTGAAGTATCAATGCCTGTCCAGGCATTGATCCAGAACATGCAGCGTTTCTCCAATGAAATTCAAAGGAAGCACAAAATGGGAGCACACACCAGCCTAATGATTGCAAATAAGCGTCCTTGTGCCATGTCCCTGTGAAGGCTCCTGGAGCCCACAGAAAGGAGGCTGATGTGAAAGGGGAATCTGGAGCTGGGCCCCGCCGTCGGGGCGGCCCGCACAAGCACCATCTAGAAGTGAGCCTGGCTTGCAGGAGACTGGAGAAAGGCACATACAAGCTGGAGTATCCGACCGCAGCAAAGATGGAGGCTAGATGGAGCCGAATGGAGGGGCAGCCATGCCAGGGTCGTCCCAGCAGCCTGGGAAGGGGCATGGCTCTAGGGGAAAAGGGGTCGCGTCAAGGTCGTTCCAGAAGGAAGGCCTTAAGCTTTCGTGGCAGCCATTACTCCCCACCCGGTCTCACTTCTTTCCCCCGGGCTGCCGGCGCCCTGGCGCCCACAGCTCAGCCCCATGAATGTTCTTGCTAGAGGGCAGAAGTGGTGACAGTGCTCAAGTGCCAGGCTTTGTGTCTAATCTTGCAGAGAGGCAAGAGAGATAGGCCTGCAGGGTGTGCCGAGGGAGTAGGCGGGCAGGTCTCAGCTATGGGGGGACTGCGACTCTTTCCACCCCCGGCCTAGGACAGTGGCTGGCTATGGCTACACTTACTCAAACAGGACTACAGAGCTGAGTTCACACTTACTCAAACAGGACTACAGAGCTGAATTCACACTTACTCAAACAGGACTACAGAGCTGAGTTCACCTGAGGTAGCGCCTTCCGCTCGAATATCTTCCACACTCACTTATAAATCTCACATGGAAACAAAGGCCTTTCTTTATGTGGCTGGGAGGGGCACGCATTCGCATCTGCCTGAAAACCAACAGAACGCAGTGATGTCTGCCTAGAAGATGTCAGAGTTAAATTCCTAGGTGGTTTTTATGGACACTGAAGTTTAAGAACAACTGACGCGGGCCCAAGCTCTAGTAGGCAACTTAGAGTTGCCGAGCCACAAGGACTCATTATCATTCATTTGGAACGTTAGACAGTACTGAGTAGGACAGAGTGGACTACACCAAAATTCAGAAAACTAATTTAAAAATGACTCAGTTTAAGAAATTGAAAGTAGCAGACGAGCGCCAGAGAGATGGGTTTGCAGGAAATCTCAGGGAGTCAGAACGTAAACACGGATGAAGACGCCTTCCATCCTAAGGTTTCTAGTCCCAGCCAAAACCCAAGAAAGGAGAAAACAAACTGTGCAGGGCCCGGGGTCATTAATTAGCTGTTCCCTCCCCGGCTCCAGGCATCGGGGAAGAGCTCCAGAGCCAGCAGCTGTCTGCTTCTGCCACATCCTGGGCCTGGAGGACTTGGAGTGGCCAGGAGTATGGAACACGTGAGAAGATCAGAGAGGAAACTTGAAAAGACAGAGGAAGCCCCCAGAGAAGTTGAGACAGGAGAGGAAATCCAGGCAAAGAATTATAGACACTGGCTGGAAATCAAGGCAGCCCTAGGAATGAGAAGAGAAATGGAGAAGCAATCAAGAAGAGAAAGTAGAGGCATCTGAAGCCCAGGATGTAGAATGTCGAGAGGATTGAGGGTCACCAGGAAGACAGCAACGCCAAAGGTGGACAAACCAGACCAGAGCAGCAACCTCCGCAGAGCAGAACCTAACAGAACTGAAGGGAAAACAGACAAACCCCTACGGGGAGGACAGGCAGGGGTCACTCTCCCAGCCTCCCAACGCAGGGAGGAGGGAGGGCTTGTCTGCGCCATGGGGAAACACAAGGACATAGAGGCACACAGGTTGGAAGCCACTGTCTCTGCTTGCAGATGACATATGTCTACATCGAAAACCCCAAGGGATCTACCCCCCCCAATGCCAAAATGCCTCTTAAAATTAATAATAGCTCATCAGAGTAGCAAAACCCAAATATCTACCTATACACTGGCAACAACAAAAACTTGGGTAAAATTGGAAACATACTATTTACAATCACTCAAAAAAAGTCAGTACGTAAGTGTAAATCTAAGAAAACCTGTGTGCTAAAAACTGCGCAATGATGATGAAAGTCATCAAAGGTCTTTCACTTTTTAAAAATTCATATAGATTTTATTTCATCCAACATATTCTAAATATTAGTTGCAATGTATAATCAATATCAAAAGGCCATCTATTTTTTAATTGAGTAATGGTATGTAATTCATCAGTACAGGACCATCACATCTCCTTCGCTGCCTGTTACCAAAATATACCTCCCACCCCGGCCCCTCAGCCTTCTGCCCCTTCCCACCTTGTAGCCACAATTCCATAGTGAGATTTCCAGGGTTTGTTACTGGTTTGGTTTGGTTCTCTATAGTCTACATGTAAGTGAAACCATCTGGTATTTGTCTTTCTCCTTCTGACTTATTTTGCTGAGCATTATTCCCAAAGAGCTTTTAAAAACAGAGAAACATACCGCACTCATGAGTTGGAAGACTCAATACAGTCAGTATGTCCAGTACCCACAAGTTAATAAACAAATTTAAAGACTCAGTGCAAGTCCGATCGAAATCCTAGTAAGGATTTTTTGTAAACACAGACGAAATTATTCTAAAGTGTATACAGATATGCAAAGGAACTAGCCAAGTTAAAGCAGATTTTGGAAAGAAGAATAAAATAAAAAGAGGTAGTTGGGCCCTGCCTGGTGGTGCAGCGGGTTAAAGCACAGCACTAGGAAGTTAAAGCCACTTCAGCATGAGTTCGATCCCCGCCTGCCCTGGAGGTGACCACAGAGCGCGGCAGACCTCTCCTGACCCGCCAGCTGCTCCCCTCAGCAGTGGACTTCGCCAGTCAGCCTGTTCTGCTCCCCACTGTCTCTGGTGAAGCCTCTCACTGCCCCTGCACTTCTGGCCTGTACCCCAGTTCTGTATGCATAAATAAATAAATCTTTAAAAAAAAAAAAAGAGGTAGCCACATTTAAGACTTGTCACAGAACTGCTGTCATCGCAACTGTGGTATTGGGGAAGGACAGACACAAAGATCAGTGGGTCAGAAGAGAAAGCGGAGAGGGACCCGCACAAATTTGTCAGCCAATTTTTCACTAAGGCACAAAAGCAATTCCACAGAGGAGAGTTGATCTTTTCAGCAAATGGAACTGGAGCAGCTAGATATCTGTTGGCAGAAAAAACAGAAAAAGGAGGAAATGGAATCTTAGTAAAAAGTTTCATGCTTTAGACAAATGTAACTCAAAATGGATTATGGACTTGAATGTAAAACTTTTAGAAAAAAAATTAGGAAAAATCCCTCAGAATTGTGATCTAGGCAAGGAATCCTTAGCTTGAATATCAAAACAGAATTTATAACAAAAAAAATAATAAAATTAAAAACTGCTCTAGAAAAGTCCTTGTTAAGTAGATGAAAAGATTTTTCAGTCAACAGCACACGCTCTTCTGTCTCCACCCACCCTGGGTTCATCTGGTGGCCAGAGAAGGACTCAGACCCTCGCCAGGGCTTCCAAGTGGCCTTTGCGTCCTTCTTTTCCACCTCTCCTCTCTCTCAACTCAAACCTCTGCTCTGAAGCCAGCAGCAGCCACTGCAGCACAAGTTCGATCCCCGGCCAGGGACTGACCCACAGGGCGCAGCAGACCTCTCCTGTCTCCCCGCTGCTCCCCTCAGCAGTGTTTCAGTCAATCCACCTGTCTGTTCCCCACTCTGTCTCTGGGGAGTCCTCTCACACCTCCATATCTCTGGCCTGTCCCCCAGTTTTGTACACATAGATAAATAAATCTTAGAAGAAAAAGATTTTAAAAACAAGCAAACATAAAACAAATCTCTGCTCCGAGGGCCAGGGAGGGTGTGATGACCATGCACTTCCTGACCTTGGTCCCAGCCTCCTGGGGTTGCTCCACAGACTCCCCTTGCTGCTGCCAGAACCGGCGGAGTATCAGAAACCGCTCCCGCCTAGTGTCCATACACTAGTGATTTTTTCCACTATGTTCTGCGCTGGTTTCTGTACTTATTCTCCAACTCATCTCTCTTGCAGCTTGTTGCCCAGGTCCTGGAACATAAAGATATAGGCTTTGTGATGGTGGATGCCAAGAAAGAAGCCAAGCTGGCCAAGAAACTGGGTAAGTGTGAAGTTTTGGTATGTATCAGGAAGAGACAAATGTCTCCTGCAAAAAAAAAAAAAAAAAAAAAAAAAAAAACAGGTACATCATGGGTCGTTTTTATTCTTACATGATCATGAATGCTGGGCTATTTTTAAATAAGTCTACAGTGACCCTGCATGCCGCCACCCCGGGCTGGGGAAGAGTGTCATGAAGTAGCTTGGCCTGAATTGAATGGGTTGACACCGATCGAATAATATATCCTGCGTCAGCCAGCGAACAGGGTTTCTTTCCGGAGAAACTGACCCTACAGGTCCAACACTTTACTCTCGGGCCCGAGGGTTGAAAACACAGCTTCTCTGCCATTCTGCCATGCTGCTTTCTTTGTGGGAAGCCCAGTGTTCCCACGTGCCTGTATTTCCTTATCTCTTAGTGGGTAGAAGCAGTCAACCAAAGACAGTCTTCACAGGAGCGACCTTGAAGTCCCAGAGGCTTCGAAACTTAAGGCTCAAGCCCAGCTGGGCATTATCACCAAGGATGAGGGGAAGGTTTCAGCGAGGCACCGTGAGGGGATTATGCAGTGCAGGCTGTAATCTCTCGTGTCAATATGTCACGCTTAAGTGCAAGTGTGCTTTGAGGCGCTTAGGCTGCTGGTGCCAGAGAGAGAGAACACAGGTAAGTCCTCTGCTTTGCAGATCCGCACATGGACTACCCACTTCGCTCTTTCTGCATGAGTAGTGAAGAATGGCTGTTAAAATAGCAGGCGGTTATAAAACAGGACCTTTGAAGAAAGGTTAATTGGATTTGGAGTACTGAGCACAGGGGGAGGAAAGATTATTGGCGGGTCAATAAATACCTTTGGGTACAGGAGAGTTCACTACCCTAGAGAATGACAAACAATTGTTTTGTGTTTTAAGAAGAGCCATCTTTTTGTTTATTAAAGATTGAAATGATAGCTGGCGGTGCTATTTAAGCCAGCATTAGGAAGAACTCATTGCTGTAAATCGATCATGGATTACTAAGAATGTCTGGAGTATCTTTTTCTTGAGTGACAAAATAAGGAATTTCCACCTCACCAGCCGCAGGGTGGAACAGGCGGTGCTCAGCTCCGCCCCTGGTCAAAGCAATTTAGAGAGCACCGCCTCCTTCCCCCAGGGCCCTGAGCCCATAGTTTTTCCCCTTCCCCACTGTTTTCCTGAAAAGGCTGAATTTGGGAGACTTTACAGTGAATTTCGCCAGAAGAAAGTGCTCGTTTCTAACTATCTAAAAATGAGGGAGGGCAAACCCTGACAGTGGTTGTGAGAGGACCCCTGTGGCTCTTTTCCCATGGGAGGACGTGCCGGGCTGGACATGTCTGAATAAACCTTTCTCCAAGCTCAGCCCAGAGGAGACGGTGCTGGTTCTTTCTGGCTCTGTGGTCCGGAGTTTACAGGACACTGTATTCTGGGACCCTGCTCCTTCCTCTTCATCACTTCATTTGCCTGAATCCGCTCTCTGCCAGTTCGTGCCTGAATTGATGGTGTCACAGCACCATCCACAGCAGGACACGGGCTGGTGACCCAGCACCTCTGTGCGTCGCATCCAGGGACGCCTGGCACAACTTCCTTCGGCTGCGCCACTGGGGCCGCCTGCTGCCTGGGCTCTTCCGACGTGCGCTGGGACACGGCAGGCAGTGGGCCAGCCTCTCTCCCGCGAGGTTCAGCAGAGGAGATCATTTGGAGAAAGCACTCCCCAACTAATAGAGAATTTGAAAACAATTAATCGGAGGAATTGGGATGCCAGGGAGTTGGACAGAATGCCAGCCCCAGCTATTTAGCGTTCCTGGGGGGAATGCAGTTCTCAGCAAGCAAGCTTTTGTGTGTTGCTTTGCGTCCAGAGCCACCGAGGGGAGGAGCTCAAGCCGGGCCTGACTAGCGGCACCTTTCAGCAGCCCGGGAAAAGGCGGGCAGGATTCTGCTGAGCTGCAGAAGCGAGCTGTCCGCAAATGTTCCAGGGGTCTGTGTCCCTGCGCACGTGACGGTGGCCCCACCTTAGAGTACATGCTGCTAGAGGGTGGTGCTCCACGCGTTAGTGAGCGGTGCCACGCGTTAGAGGGCGGTACTCCTCGCGTTAGTGGGTGGTGCCACGCGTTAGAGGGCGGCGCTCCACGCGTTAGTGGGCGGCACCATACGTTAGTGGGAGGTGCTCCTCGCGTTAGTGGGCGGTGCCACGCGTTAGTGGGCGGTGCTCCGCACGTTAGTGGGCGGTGCTCCACGCGTTAGTGGGCGGCGCGCCACGCGTTAGAGGGCGGCGGTGCCACGCGTTAGTGGGCGGCGCTCCACGCGTTAGTGGGCGGCGCGCCACGCGTTAGTGGGCGGTGCCACGCGTTAGTGGGCGGCACTCTGCACGTTAGTGGGCAGCGCTCCACGCGTTAGTGGGCGGCACACCACGCGTTATTTGGCGGTGCCACGCGTTAGTGGGCGGCGCTCCACACGTTAATGGGCAGCG